GATTCGTCGCGTATCCGCAGAAGACGCGAAGCTAATCCGATTAACTGCGCTACCCTGCATATGCTTAATGTCGATCGGCATCAATGACGCATTCCCTGGCTTGAATGCCAGACAAATGTCAGTTGCCGCGCTTGTTTCGGAGCAAAAAAATAAAAGAAGGATATACCGCGGGGATAACGCGAGTTCATTATATGTATATATTATTCGCATTTACATAATATATACGGATTCTGGGCACGCGCTGCCGTGCGTGCGTGCGTGCGTGCGTGAGTGCGTGCGTGCGTGAGTGCGTGCGCGCAACGATATATCTAGCAATCGATCGGAGCATCGACCGTCGATGCTCTAAGTCTCTATTCTAGTCTCTATAGAGCTCGATAGAGCGACATGTAACTTTCTGCCGCAAATTATTTCAGCTTTGTCGAGGTGGCTAAATGTGGCGAAATACTCATCTATTTCTTGTAGCGTTTTTTCACTGGCAAAGTGCCGATGCGCACTGAGTGCACTTTAAAGCCGTTGTACACAAACAGACGTGAAGTGTGTATGTTTAATATAAAATATAAAAAAAGAATTAAACCTCGCGAAAATCCTCAATACATTCTGTTGTGCCATTTGATAAAATATATACATTAAGGTATTTTATTATATATAATTGAGATATCTCACTTTTAAATTCGTGCACAACAGCTTTAATGTGCGCTGAGTGCGCACCAGTTCTAGTGAAAAACGCGATTAATATCTTGTATGGAAAAAACCGGGTTTTTTACTGAAGTCTAAAAATTTAGCACACACAGAATTTAGATCTAAAAATATTTTTATTAAATTGTCAAAATAATTTGTAGATCGTTATTAAAATAAACAGGACTCTATTAAATTAATAGAAGGTTAAAACTGGTAGCTGTAAAAATTAAAATTTTTTTATCCAACGAAAATTTATGTTCACATTTGTAGATATTCCAGCAAGATTCTTTCCACGTGACTTATATAGCCGGTAAGTGAGTTGTAATCGGCGTCAGAATGTCTGAGATATTTTTTCAGGAAAAAATTTAAGGGAACAGAGAAGATTTTTAAGACATTTATTTCCGTACAAAACGTTAGGAGAATATTAAGCGGTTGATTATTTTTCTTTCATGATTTATGGATGGGGTTCTTTAATATGATTTCATTATTAATTATCTTTGATTTATACGTCGTTAAATCTGTGAAGATTGTTTACACCGAAGTATCTCTCAATCTCACTTCCCGGATAGACACAGGGGTCATTCGTCACTTCGAATGCAACATCGAGCTATCTCTTCGCGCTAACAACTCAGGTACACCCGGAAACATGCAAATATCATCGTTTCGAATACAGGACGATTGCATAAGTACGCGATAGTGGCTAATAATCGCGCGAGCCACTGTGAAACGCCGTGGCTCCAAGTTATTTCACGCTCGACGAATCGCACGCTTTATTATGACGAAAAATACCTGTGCGCTATGCAATTTCGATTTTCGATTGACCACGTAACCGTAATATCTGCCCTCCAAGTGCCATGATAATCTCGCCATTCTCTATTATCTAGTATAAGCCTTCACCCTGAAACAATATAATTAACTGATATCAATAAACAATATTCTGTACAATGTAACAATGGCTGTGATATTTTAGAAACGATTTTTATTATAATAATTTGCTTAATTTATTCAAAAAATTTAGATATGTTCGACATATCTAAGAGATATATATTCAATATATATCTTAAATTATTTAATTCGAGCCCTTCTCACCTTGAAATAATATAATCAGTAAAATGACATAATCAGCTAGTATCGATAAATAATATTCCAACAATGCTGCAATATTTTGACAGAAATGATTTTTGCTAATTTTGTAATTTGATTTAAAAAATTTTCAAATTCAATATCTTGTTATCTAATTTGGGTCCTTCACTTTATAATATAAAGAAATAATTAATACAACTAACTAGTATTAATAAATAATATTTCAACCATGCGCTGCAATATTTTGATAGAAAATATTATTGCTTGCGATTTGATTAAAAAAATGTTTAATGTATATTCAGTATGCTGTTATCTGATCCTCCATCCTGAACCAATATAATCAGCTGGTATTAATGAATAATATTCTATTTTGATAGAAAAGATTTTTTACTAATGACTTGAAAGTTTTCAAGACTATATTCAGTATTATACGTTAAAAATGATTTAATATTTAGAAATTATTTTCAGCAAATTTCTCGAATTATTTTGACTATAAAAAATATTTTCGCTAGCAAAACGATATCCTTTTTTTTCGATTTCGAAGGAAGATTTTTTTTTTTATGTTTTATTTTAAATCCTATCACCTTTCGAAACTGCTCCTTGACCGATATTTCTTTTTGGCACTTTTAATTATAGAAACCCCCAAAGATGTATTCGCGGCTGCGTTTACCGCTGCGATACCACGAAAATGTCACCATATCTGACCGTTTTATGGTTTCTCTTTGATTGTAGCGAACTTGTACGTGCTCTGATGTGTCTCTCGCATAATCAGAGAAACTGGTTGTTTCTCTGATGTTACGAGTGAAACGCACGTAAGCGAGGGTCTATTAAAATTCGGCTCGCCTCGCGAAACGCATGCGAAAAAGAAAGGATAGAAGTGTCGATGCCAGGTCCGATTGCTCGCCGTCATTTTAGCGCGTGTCCCACGGCGACGCAACAAATATTCAGTTTTGCAAACAGTTGCGGTGCAAATATTTAATAATAATTATACGGCGTTCTAAAACTGATGCAAATACTAGTGCGAATAGCAGAGCGTGTTTCACGCAGCAAATTTTCAATTGGCTAGAAACTGGAGTTGCTAGAAGGCAACGCGTTGAGGCGGTATAATCTAAACCGAAGAAATACTGCGTATTCCTTATCATTGCAGCGATATCGGAGTCGCTTTCACTATATTGAATAATATTATGCTCGTTGCATGTGTTTATTTAATTGCTGCAAAAACCATTCGTTTCATCTTCGTAACAGTGGATATCGAGCGCAACGGTGATAACGAGCGCGGTATCAATGTATGTAAAGCCCGACTTAACAAACGGCTAATCAGCGAGCGACAACAATTAAGTAACGTCACGGTATAATCCGTTTTTTTTTTTTTTTTTTTTTTGGTATTATCAAAAAATAATTGAGCATTCAGCATAAAAACAACGACGATTGTGACTATGTTAAAAACGGTGCCAAGGAATTAATTCTTTATTTAAACACTACTCGCTGCCACTTCAATGTAATAGGCATTAACGAACGTCTAGCATCTGTAAAGATAACGACTGTCGCGAATAATTTACGATCCACACGGGGCAACGGCTATAATATGCTTCCAGTTGTATTATTTATCTTATAATAGACGCGAAGAAAAAAAAGATGTCACTTTTTATCGTCGCGAAGATATTAATCTTCACGCTTTTTTAAGGCAAAACAGAGGTGTCTCCTGAATTATTTTAATAAGATTTTAATAGATTCTCCGACAGACCTGACGTTTTTTTTTCTACGAGTGTTTTGACTGAATCTATGGAATGATTCCAAATGAAATGGGATTCCGTCGTCTCGAAAAATTTCACTCGAAATCTCGAGAGTGCAATGGGCGCGCTGAAAAAAAAAATGTTTGGTTGAAAATGAATAAACTAGAACAATTCTGATTATATCAACTATCTCAACTGGAATTTTAGTAGATTTTTTTAATAGATTTAACCAAAGAATTTTCTGGTTTAACCATTTTCAAACATTTTTTTCAGTGCGCAGTGACTACGTTTAACAAAAAACATAATTTTAAAACTGTAAGATTCTTTAATTGATTAAACTTGCCTTCAGTTCCTCAGTGGATCTAAATGGATAAACCGGTCATATTAATCTTTACAGGACAGAAAAACTACTACAGTGACGCTGATGAAACAGTGTTACACTGATTCACATTCTGAAGCAAGGAATACAGTGAGAGATATAATAAATTGTAACAAATCTTACTCAAGGAAAAGCTGTGAGATTTTTAAAAATCGATCCCCGTCTTCTAAAGGTTAAAGAATCTTACATAGTTGCAAAGCTGCTTTTTCTGCTGAACGCGGCCAATCCCTCTTGCGATTCGCGGGGTGAACGTGAAACTTGTTACGAACAATTTATGCGGGCGTTCGAGAGGAGGAGGAGGAGGAGGAGGAGAAGGAGGAGGAGAAGGAGGAGAAAAGTATCTCCTGTATGTATATAGAGCCACAGATACGGGCCAATTATTTTTTGGAACGCATTTACATGACGCCCGTATAGGTATGCGCCGATCGAGAGCGAGGTCGAGATAAGCTCGACATAAGTCGAGTGCAACAAAAGAAAATAATGCCCTGCTGTAGCACGGTAACACAAGTCGGTGCTTTTCCACGCCATTATTAACGGCGCGTTCGGTCCTCTCCTCTCCCGGAATATCGACACGCAAGTCGATTATTTGCCATTGCACGTTTTCGCCTTCGACGTGACGAATTGCGGACGAGAAGTGGTAGTAGCCGGGTACGCGTTCGCGTATATTATTCAGCGAAAGAGAATGTTATGTTTAGTTTCAGAGAAAGAGAAAGGGAGAAATAAAGAGAAAAAGAAATGAAATGGAAAAAAATATATTCACGGCCGTTTTCAGCCGATTGCGCCGATCGAGAGTCTCAATGATTGTGTTTGTGACTTTATCTTATCGCCAAAATTAAAAACACGTCTGCCCCTGCTCGCATATTGATCTTATATCGGTGCGAATTACGATCGGCTGGTCGATCATGCGTAACGCACGCGAGAGTGTTTTCTTAGAGATAGACACAGGCGTTAGGTAGTAAACGCATCGGTTATCGAAAGCGCAAGTTACGCGAGAGCTTTACAGGTAACTTTAGAGGCCGATCGCGGCCGGTCGCGCATTTCGTGCGCGACACGCTCGAGGAAAGATCGCGCTTAATTGAGTGCGCAATATCGAGTGAAACGCAGAATGAGAAACAATAGTTTCTAGATCGGCTTTGAGTAGAGGCTCGCGGAGATTATGGAATATCGAGTTGCAAACGGATCTACCGAGTCACGCATATGCAATAGACGCACAACAGACGCAACATCGTCGCAGCCGAGGCTAAGAATAACCGTAATTATCACGAGATATTAATTTTCGCATGCGAGCACGAAATTGCTAATCTAAACACTTCTCTCTATGAAAATTCAACAATAAGAAATAGGAGTAATGGCCACCTGATGGTTAAATTTTTTTTTTTTTAATAATTAAATAATTAAATCTCAATTACTATACTTATAGTATATACATGCATATATTTGTCGTCAATTGCACGGCGTGCCGAATTGATTTTTTCGGATTTTTTCGGAGAATTTCGGAAACGCAATTAAACTACTGTAGTAATATCACGAATTAAATTGATAAGCTATTTTAATAATTCGATGTACAATCAGGCATCCTATTTAACAGTATAAATAAATAAATAATAACTATAAATATGGTATATATGTGCATGTACATATATAGTAGTATAGTAATTTAGATTGAATTATTTAAGCAATAGAGACCTAGCTTTGACTGTTAGGGCCATTACTTCTATTCCTTATCGTTGAATTTTTAAATGCACGGTCCAGTAAGATTCTTATTGCTCGCTCTATAAGATTATTGTAAATTCGTTCACGCATCTCACACACATTTGTGCTTTTTTGCGAAACAAGCCCATCTTTATCGGAGCATATGTACAGATTACCTCTGACCTCGACTGCCTATCGTTCACCTTCGTGCTGTACAAAGATAACCGATCTCCTAAAAAAGCGAATCGATTATTTAAGAAAAAATACGCAAAAAATACTGCGTCCCGAAAAATTTTCGAAATTGCCGAATGCCATCTTCTCTTCGAAGAAATATTAGAGTCTAGTTTTGTCATAAATAAAAAAGAAATAATTTCGCACTGATTACTGAAGGTTAAAACCTTCATTAGATCTTTGATTATTTTTTTTTTATTGAAAAAATATTATTGCGGTATGGTAAAATATTTGAGCTCTAAAATGCTATCGCTATTGAGTAACACAGTACTGCTATCCCTATGTAAATTTGACGTACAGGGAAATAGGCCACTCCTAATTGACATTCTTAATTAAAACAACTTTTCATATGTTTCACACTTTCGATGATAAAATATTTATAAGTTAAACTTTTATAAATATATATAACCTAATTATTAACTTAAAAGGAAAGAAAGAATAAAAGCACACTATCAAATTTAATTTTGAAACGATAGAAATAAGTAGTCCAACTGTGTATGAGTCTCTTCGTAACATTTAAACAAAATATATAATAACACAAAACACTGCTTAAAAGCCGAATCATTTGTCACGCTCTCTGTTGTAATGCTAACAAGAGAATTTAAAGTGATATATACGGACGGAATGTTTCAAAGCTTATCTTCGTTTGGCCTAACTTTTATCGTGACAGATTGGACCTCTTAATGTCCACTGCAGGTATAGCTCATTTGTATAACGTAAAATTTATGTATCGATAACATTTTACATTGAAAAAATTTCTGTTTGAAAATGAACGAACCAGATTCTGATCATATCAATCAGAATTCTGGTTGTTTCAACTAGATTTATAATTCAGCTGGAAAGTTCTGATTTGTTCATTTCCAGCCGGAATACCAATTAATACAATCAGACTCTTTTTCCAATGTGAATCAAACAACAATGTGTCTTCCATTTCGATCTTAAAAAGAAAGTTATTAATATTACTTTTTATATTGAAATACTTGGTTACTAAAATAAATTAAGATTTATTGTTTAAAAGATAATTTTCATTTCATCTTCAAAGATGTAATATTTTATCGAGATAAATAATGATTATTAAGAAGAAAAACTTGAAAACAGAGAACTGTTCTCTCGATTCGGTTGAAACGACAAAATCCTTTGGGATCCTTTCGTCGAGCAAATAGGTTGATTTACACCCTTTCTGCTACTGTCCCTTTTAATTACGAATAACGAACGTTTTCCTGGCGAATGCATTTTTTTCGCGGCATGCCGCAAGCGAACCGAAGCGAGTCGGGCCGAGCCGAACGGAGTCGAGAGTTTCTAACGAGTTTCACCGATCGGCGCGAGAAAGATTTATATCTCGAGTATCGGAGGCATTATGACGCGAGCATTAGACAGAACGGTGATAAAAACTTCGGCGATCGATGGGCCGATCGTGCGTTTCGCGACTAGTTTCAAATGAACTTATCAAGAGAGCCGGTCGAGCGAAACCGCAGAATCGTCGATCATTATCTACTCGCTCGTAATCGTCGATCGAGAGGTTAATGGGACGGGATTTAGCAACTTTGACGAAGGAGCCAGTTTCGAGTGCCGACCGAGCGCGGCTTCGATTCCGCTCTTCTTACAAGAAAAATCATCGAAGTATCCCCTTCCGATTTTGATGAGCTTTGTACAATGTAGAAATTTGCAGACCGATTAGAATAAATCTAATTAAATCTAATTAAAAAAATATATATAAAAAATCCTATATTCGATCAAAGCGGATCTTAGTGCTCTCAAATATTTATACGAATTTACGTACATATATCTGATATTCTGCAAACCGCGCCCGATCGAAATCCTTTTCGATCTCGAAACGCAATCATTAATACCATCGCGCTTCCATGGATTTTCTTATTAGCGATAATAAAGCGCCGCGCTCGGAACCGCCGTATCATAATTAATCGAGACGTCTCGTCGTTGATAAATAAATTGCCGACGCGGCGCGACGTTTTACGCGGCGAGAGGAGGTTGCGCCACGCAGGACGGGAGCATTAAGATGTCCGTTATATATCGCTCCGATGTGTATCGCTTCCGCACGCAGCTGGTCCGCGCTCCCAAATATTTGCACGTCTCTTTTCTCCCGGCCTTTCGCGGGGAGAGCCGTGAGGTATGGATTCGACTGCTGCAGCGCACGTGTGTAAATACGTACAGATGCGCGGGTGTGTGTTAACAAGTGTGTCGTAATCGGCAAGGTCGCCGGGAAACGCTGACGTTGACGCCGACGTCGCTTTTCAGCGACGCCGTTGACGACGACGGAAGAGAGAGAGAGAGAGAGAGAGAGAGAGAGAGAGAGAGAGAGAGAGAGAGGAGAGGGAGAACGAGTGAGGGGGGGGAGGGGGAAGGAGAGAAAGGAAAAGAAGGCGCGCACGGTCCAAAGAGGCCAATCAGCGCGTGTAACGTGTATTGTTTCGTTATGTTTTAATGTTACCGCTCTCCATGCCGCTATCGCATTCGCGCGAACGGCCGCGATGTCTCGCGACGAGCCGGCGAGAGCTGTGAACGGTTGATCCCACTTACGCAATTTTCACTCATATAGCACGCGATATCCGCTCGATGGATTCCGGCTTGGATCTTTACGAGATCGTAAGCCGGCTCCGAACGTTTCGACGGATGTTTGTAAGACGATCGTAACGTCGCGTTATGAATAACGCTTTTGGAAGATGCAATTATTTCTCAGACAGGAAATGCTATTTCGGCAATAAAAGAGTTCTTGTTGAGTCTGCAACAGTTTATTTTTGGAAAAAGGTATGTGACACCTTTGCCGTTGTAGAATCGAAAACAAAACGGTATTTATCCGTACGAATAAATTTTAATCTCATAAGAAGTCTAATTTCTTATAAGAATTTTTATCTTTTATAATAGAATTTTTAATCTTATAAGAAGTTATTGGCCATTTTTAAGATCAATTTCGAAGTCGGAGAAAAGTGTCTAACAGTACTTAAGTGAAAATCGACCGAGAAATTAACAAATAAACGACGTTCAACATGAATAAGCAAAGAAGGCCATATTTGGTTAAAATTGATCTTGAGAGATATTTAATAAATATTTGTAAATTTACAATTTCTAGTTCAAGCAAAGTTTATTTCTCCTATACTTTCTACCAACTGAGTGGAGGAAATAATCCTGATAGTTCTCCCGATGTATTATATTATATTTCCTAAATATTATAAATGACATGATTGTCTGAAAATCACGTGTTATTAAAAATGAAGAATTTTTATTATGCCAGCGCGACGCACGTCAGCATGTCTTTGAATTCTCGCAATTATACTACAATAATTATTTATCAAACCGGCTGAGCGTGATTATCGCTCTCGATAATTTCTTATAAATATTTTCTACATGCCTCCATTAAGCGATATTGCCAGTTCGCGATGTAGGAGTTACTTTCCCTCGCTTTCGTCGATTTCATAACGCGGCGCGGAATTGCTGACCGTCTTTATTTAATCGCACGCCACGTACGATCGACCGGTATTATCGCTTCGAATAATTGGCGGTGCAAAGTGCAACGTGGGACAAGAAGCAAAGAGAAAGAAAGAAACGGAGCGACGCGACGTTTGGCGTTTAGCCGCCGCACCGTGTCCCCCGTTGTCGTCGTTCGCATTTGGGGAAATCATTTCGTCGTGCGATCGTAGTCTCGGATTCTCTCGCGACGCGACGCGACGCGACGTAACGAGGAGAGAAGGTCGAACATCCGACTGGACTGGGCTAACTGTAAAATGGCGGTTCCGCTACTCCGCGCAAAAAGAACGCGTTCCCGGTTGTCTTGGTAAGCCTCAACACCAAGGTGATCGCACGGCCTTGTGTCACGTGTACGTCCATTAATGTCGCCGTTCATGTAGGATACGTAGGGTATCATACGCGCGGCCCGCGCGTATCTACCGTCGCGTACGCGGGTATCGATCGTTCCTCCTCACGTGTGCGGCATTCCTCTCATTCCGCCTCCCTTATCCCGCACCTTTTGCATCCTCCGAACTCCCGGGAGAGCCGCTTTAGAAAGGATCGCGCTCGTTCAAAGGTTCTCGCTCGCGCGCGCCTCGAGGCGGCCACGGGGTGTCCGAGAATGTCGGCGCGGAGAAGCGGACGCGCGTTTTCTCTCCTCGCGAAATTAAAAAAATATCCATTCTGGTTTTTATTTATTAAGAAAGCGGAATGATGACTTCTTCGAGAGATGAATTCTTCGAATTGAGCGCTCACGGCTCACGCATTTTTTAATACGTAATATATACGAAAAAATGACATACTGACGGCGTTAACTAATAGCAGCCTAACTGAAAATAATCTTGTTAATTCGATAACAGTGTAATT